CCAGAGTATCCATGTCTTTGCAACCATCAGTTGGAACTTCAAGGGTACCCTCCACTTCTATACTGGCACAGGGAAAGGCGGAAGGCTTATCCAAGCTGATTATGTCAAGATTTTGGAGGAGGTTGTTGCCCCAGAATGGGATGAAAATCTCATTCTGATCGAAGATAACGATGGACCACATGGTACGAAGGGTGCTGCTGACAATAAGGTTAAGCAAGCCAAAACCAAGCTTAACATCAAGTGGCAAGCTCAGCCTTCTAATTCGCCAGATCTCAACCCTATTGAGACCATTTGGCGCATTATCAAGCAGCGTTTAAAGAATAGGGGGGTCATCTTCCAGACAGAGGCGCTGAAGGCTGCTATCCAGGAGGAATGGGATAAAATCACCATAGAGGAGATCAACAATGCTATCTCCACCATGCCAGATAGAGTAACTTGTTTGCAGGAGCGTTTTGGGAAGGCCATACCCTATTAGAGGGAGTAGATAGAAATGCAGAATCCTTAACTGCAAAGAATTTTGGCGCCAAGCTTCGGGCCGAGCTGCTGATGTACGTTGCTTAGATGGTTTCGTCAGGTCTAGCCGGGTTGAGGACTCTTGCTGAGGTTCCCAAGCTTGCCCTGGGAGAGTAGGTGTCGGCTGCAGCGAGTCACGGAGTTGGCGAGTAGAGAAAGCTTCAGGTGGACGCGATGTGGTAGGGTTTAGCCTCCGAGAGTCTGGTCTCGGATTATCCGTAGGGCCCACCCGAGGGGGTGTTTGCCGCCTGAGGGTCCGCTCTGGGTTTTCAGGCGGTTGCTGCGGCACCCAATTCAGTAGCGGGGCTGTGGAAGAGCCGGGTGGCAAGTACTGTGGGTACTGTGGACTGCCATCACTTCCGCTGCCAGGCCTTCCAGACTGCTCTGAATGTGTTTTCCGTTCTGAGCTCCTGCTCCTGGACCTCTCAAGTCCAGCATTTATATCAGATGTTCTGGGTGGTCGAACTTTAGCTCGACCAATTCGTGAGAAAAAATTTGAAGACATATTACGGTCCTTTATGAATGTGATCGATCTTTCTTGGATGTTTCTTGATAGTGGAGATAGTTGTATAGAGACCACGGCAAGAGGATTAGACACGAATCTTCTTTTGGAGTTTTGGTATTCTTGCAATCTGATTTGAGTCAATGAGTGGCTATTTGAGTTCAACCATGTGTGTCAAGTCAAGAGGAATAGAAAATGGAAATATCTGGGAGTTCCGCAACAACGATGCACTTGGTTTGATTTCCACGGCGGTGTCTGCATATGTGGAATTGCAGACCTCGCAAGTGAAGGTTTGACAATCGACCAGGGCCAGCGTTGGCGCCGTGGCTGACGTTGCCCAGAGCGAATAGGAGGAAGCACATGCCACTGGTGACCAACGCCCGATGTATCACAACGCCCGATGCACACAAAGCGCCCCATGCAAGCAAAGCTGACGTTGTCCAGAGCGAATAAGAAATATGTACTAGTTAGTGACCAACGCCCGATATATAGACAACGCCCCATATGAGTAACGCTGACGTTATTAGAGCGAATAGGAAGTATATGCTGGCGACCAACGTCCGATGTATGCATAACGCCCATGCAGTACATAACGCCCCGTACAAGCAAAACGCCCCACGCAAGTGCGGAACGCCCCATTCAAATGTGGAACGCCCCATGCATCGAGCAACGCCTCATGGAATTAAGGAGCGTCCCACGCAAATGGATGCCCCATTTACTGCAGTTCAGAAAATTGGCGGATACAAGAACGACCCAACCTATAGTTGAAATCGGAAGAAAGCACCTCTAGTCGATTCTGGCACATGCAATCACTCTCAGCGAGCTTTCCAATCATGCCTGCAGTTGATGATTCACACGACCAAGTGCACTCCCCGGTGGGCAATGGTATCAGTAGATAAATGATTAATTGAGAGAACGATTCCTAGGCCTGGCCTTACATTGGTCTTTCATTGGTCTTTCATAGGTACATTTTACACCGAAGGTGGGGAGTGCAGCTTCAGCCTCACGATAATCGACGATGGGCTCCGAGACTACCTGTGAAACGAGCACTATTAAGGACACGGTCATTTACAAGCTCTGTTTCTGTTATAGCTGTGACAAGGCTGTTACTAGCCCTGTGTCACCTTACTGTTGCTGTATTGGTATGCTATTATAGGCATACCGAGAACGTACAAACACTCCGTAGACCCTCCATAGACGTAGATTTGAATTCGAACAGCTGTCGAACGACAGGAGCGCTTATTGGTTGTTTTGTCTACGCGAAATCCCTGAGTTTCGCCTGCTTTTGATTGGTCAATTTCTCCTGCAAGTTAGCAGCTAATTTCGCCGCGCCTCGCAGCATTTGTACTTATTTCTGCGCCCTGCGCCCCCTTTTTGAGAGAACAGAGAGCCGTTTCTTCATCCTCCTACGCAACAGTTATCGCGCTACAACAGCTTTCTATCACAAAGTATCCTCCGTTTGACACTACCCTTTGGGGCTCCGCCCATAACACAGTCGAGCTGACGTCTCAACAAGCGTGATCGAAAACATCATGACTACAATTACAGCAGTTGCACTTACAGCTGTGATAGGATACATTGGCGCGGAGGTGGCCGAAGAATGTCTGTTGGAACGGTTGCTCTGGCCTCAGAGATTCAACAATGACATGAATGTCTGGATTTTCCTGCAGCAGAGTTTCTTTGGGACAATTGGTGGACCACTTCATAAAGCTGCTCTTAAGACTCTTGACAATCTAAGAGCGAAGGGCGTGTACACTGGGCCATGTCGTGGACATATGCTTGGGACTATGTTTTTCTCCGAGCTCAAAATTATGCACTTCCAACGATGCAAACAGGAGCGAATGCTTATACCGGAAAAATCACGGAATGGCTTCTGGATCCGGGTTTTGCACAACGTCGATACTGACAAACATGTGAGCTTCAAAGTACCAAAGCAGGATAGCGAATCGAACCAACCTAGCAACACTCACCGATCACTGCAGCCAGTCTATCATTTGAAACTCGGTATTCCCGCCGACGATCAGGAGCCAGGTCACAAGGATGTCTGTGTAAAAGAAGACTGCGTAACCTGGGCTGTTATCTCCAATGCCATCCTCAGCGAGTTTGTTTCAATATTGGCATCCTTGGTTGCTGGGCTGAAACTTAAAAATTTGCTATTCTGTCTTTATATTCTTCTGCCTTTACTGTTGAGATTACTTCTGATCGTCTTCGCAGTCCGTCGAGGAGGTCTAATGTCAAAGCAAGATTTATTAAAGGTAGCCGAGAACGAGAACACCAAATTGTCCAAGGCAGAAGCCTTTGAGGTGGCTGATCCAAATTACAAATTTATGGTCATTGAGGGGCCACAGCCCGTGATAGTCCAATTCTTCAGGCATTATGGCCACCCGATGCGGGACCGGAATTCGCTTTGGGCCGGTGATCGCGTGAGAGAAGTAGCATGCATAATAGTTGTCTGCTGCTTGTTTCTCTATTTCCCAGTTGGGCTTCTTCTAGCGCAATGGTCAGATGAAGATGCCCAGCATCTGTGGCTCGGCTATCAACTATACGCTATCTTCGCTATGCACATAGTTCGGATTTTTGGATGGCAAGACCTAGGAAGAACCGAGAAACGGATAGCAAGATTACTTAGTAACGGAACGACTATTTGGTTTAAGACCAAATCCGGGTGCGCTGTATCTGCGTCCCTGGTCCTATACGCTGTCAACAAAAATGCGGACGGCAAACGCAAAGTGCAAGAGCTCATCGATCAATGCAAAAAGCAATTGGCAGAAGGAACGCAGCTACCAGAAGGAGAGCAGCTGGCGGCAGGAGAGCAGCTGGCGGCAGGAGAGCAGATGGCGGCAGGAGAGCAGCTGGTAGAAGAAGAACAGCCGTCGGAAGAAGAGCAACTGTCAAATTGAGAGCACTTTAGACCCCTGAGTCGGATAGAATTGCAAGTTGCGAGGCTTGTTCGGATTCTATAGTTAGAAACATACATTGCTGTCTCCACTCTCTCTAAGTTACCTACTCAGCAGTGTCGACGTGTTTTCAGCTGTTGTACACTGGCGAAGGAATAATTGGACAAGACAGTCGAAAGGTACTCAACAGCCTCCTTTAGTACTTACCCGTAAGATGTCGTCGGACGAGATGCAAGAGCAACAATAGGCGTTGAATACAGCCTCCATTTCCTGATTTTTGCTTCTTTGAATGGAGCTCGTTCGTCAGATATAATCTAGAAGCGTACTCGATTTGGTGTTGGAGCCGACGTTCAATATCGCTAGTTGATCAATTGAGCAGTAGAAACTTGTATAAAGTAGCTGTTTATTGTGTACTCCGTAGAAGGAAATAACTAAGACAAGGAGCTACACGCGCCAAGCACATAGGGCACGCGTGGTCATATGACCACGCGACCGCAGGCCATACAGCATTTCTATCAAGTTTGCTCAATCGTACTAAGGCCATGTATAGTTACACTGTGAAAGCTAAGCTACATCATAGCTTCAGCCTGTGGCCAAGCCCCCGGAAGGGCCAAGTCCCTGCAAGACCAAGGAGTCCCCTAAGGGCTCTGTGTCACACAAGTTGCCGCAGCTAAGCGCCCTAGTTAAGGCTTAACATCAGGATTAACTAGAGTATCCCTTGTGAGCCCGAATAGACCCCTGCGTGGTCCTCCTGCCGTTGAGGGTTTAGCGTTAAGAGATACCCGCGTTTAGCGGTGAGATTATTTCTGCAGCCTTAGCATTAGAAACATTAAAATAGTTAAAGTTATACTGCAGTCTTAGCATTAAGAACATCAAAAATACTAAAGTAAAAATAAAACTTAAATTAGTTATATTAGGCTAGATATTAAAGTTAATAATCTAAAAATAAATTATTTAATAGCTCTAATAATTTTTTATCTAAATATATAAATTTTAAGTTAATAAACTTATTATTTAAAGAGTAAAATAAAAAAGAATAAAATAGTATTTATTGAATTGCTGCCAAGCCGCTAGCACAGTAGTAGTCACATGATCTATGGGATGCTGTATCAGGCATAGCGTCATTAACTAGCCACTGAGTAAGATTGCACTTGAACTTCGGCAGGAGTTGGATACAACTTCTGTACGAGTTAACATATCAGTTAATTAATTAAGTACAGACATCCTTAGATAGCAGAAGCAGTTTTAGCGTTATTTTCAACAGGTTATAAGCCCGGTAAGCACCCTTTGAACGCTGACAGACAAATAGAACACTAAGCAATTAAAGAAGATCCTAATTGAGAGCATCCTGTTATCCCTATTCTGCAGCTCCTCTGAAAGATCCTAAAACTGCTTAGTAGCTTTAAGTCCTCAAGCCAATTAGACTCCTCTATAGCTCTGAAGCTCCCTAAAGCCCCCTATAGCCTCTATAAGATGAGCAGCACCAACAACAACAATCATAAGAAGCGAGAGAAGCTTAAGGGCTTTGAGAATTGGCCTTATTAGTCTAATTTGGCCTAGTTGTATTTAATAGAAAAGAAGCTATAAAGATATATTACCCCTGGCCTGCTAAATAACCTAGATAACTACAGGGCCGCAAAGGCAGCATACTACTTAAAGAGGGACATCAATAATAAGCTGTTCTAAGGCATTAAGACTATTAACAACCTATAGCTTATTTAGAATCATCTTAAATCAGTATGTTTGTAAGCTGGGCAAGGCATTATCTACACGTCTTTATAAGAGCTCTTTTCTTATCCTATTAATTACAAGTCTCTTAGCCTTAAGAAGTCTATTAATGCTTACATTAGTAAGATATTAGCTATTGTTAAACGAATTTGTATAGCTGTTAACTTTACAAGAGACATTTAGGAGGATATTCAAATTATTTAACTCCTTAAAGGCCTTCCTACTTAATTTAATAGCACAAAGAAGCATATTCTTAATCAAAAGGATATAAAGCTAGCTAATATTTAACAGATACTCGCTTCTAAAGAAGTATAGGTTAATATCCCTTATGACCCTAATTAGACCTCTGTAATAGCCTCCTGCTATTAGGAGTATAGTATTTAAGATTAAATAATTTAAACTCATCTTTAGTATTATAATTATGCTGTAGCCTTAGCGTTAAGAACATCAAAACTGTTACATATTACTTTAGAAGTAGGCGACGAGTTCGTAAGATCTTTAGCCTATGTTGAGTGCTATCCTAAGACTACAGAGCTAACAAGAATAATACTAGGGTCGCTCTTATATAGCGAGCATGCCCCTTATTAACGTGTAGTGCCAATTAATACCTGGCGGCCCTAGCGCTAGCGGCTGATAAGCATAGCAGCTATGACATTACCTCTCCCCTCTAGAAGACTCGACATGTTCTTATGTCTAATAAGAAAACAATAGCAGAACAGCAGCAGAGCAACAGCACAATAATAGCATAGCATACTAATCTAATATATCTTTCTGTCACACAGTTACTAGTATCTACTAGTAGTAAGGCCTATTTCTTTCCACAGCAATCTTTACCTAGTACTCTAATCTCTGACGCTGTCCTAACACAACAGCATTAACGCTGGCCTCTATGATTATATCAAAGGGGCTACAACTGCTACTAATGCTATAAGTACTGACGTATCCTAATGTGTGGCGTTCTCAGGCCGAGTAATAGATGGCTCTGCCTTCTTTGCAGAACGCTTTAACTTTGTAGGTATAGTTATAAAAGTAGGAAGTATAAATATAGTATTTAATTATGCTATAATAAGATTATACTTAGTATTAGCTAGTTTTTCTTATAGCTATTTATACTCCTTTTTTAGTATTAGTACTTCTTACTTAAGCTTATTCTTAGTAGCTATCCCTTGTGACCCTGATTAACCCTTATCGTAAGTATCCTTCCTTATAAAGCTTAGCGTTAAGAGATACTCGCGTTTAGCGGTGAGGTTATTTCTGCAGCCTTGGCATTAGGAACATCAAAAATACAGGAGTACCAGACGGCCTTAGTATTATGAACATCAAACTTCGTTAGGACCTAGCTATAGCCTTGGCGTTAAGAACACTAAAAGTGAATTATAAGAGGAAATTTTTACTTAGCTGTAACAGGCTAATTATTAGGGCTAGAAATCTACAAATAGTATTATTTGATAGCTTTTAAAAGGGTGTAAATTAATATGTAGCTTTTGAGTTAATTAGACTCTGATTTATAGAGAAGAAATATAAAAGGTAAAAAAGTGTTAGTTTTTAAAAACATCTTTAAGACTAACTTCATTAGTATAAAAGATAGAAATTTATAAATAATATATTACATATACCTGCTTATAAGCCCTTAGAAAAAGCTTATTTAAGATTTATAACTAAAGTAGTTAGTAAGTTATTAGAGAATAAAGAGTTTAGAGCTTTTCTATTTCTTGTTTCTATCAAAACTTGGCATCTCATACTAATTAATTCTACTACTTTATATCACCTTTACTCTTTTATTTCTCTACCAAATCAACTCGAAATTAGTTCAAATTGATACTAACCCTTAGCCCTGTCTATTATCCAACTCTACTACCTCTAATTTAGCTTCTTCTGCTCAGAAATCTTCAAAAACCATTAAAAACCCTTCAAAATCACCTAAAATAGCGATTTCTCTACGAATTTCAGCTCAATCAGCGCCAGAATCAAGTGCTAGCGCCTCATTTTCCTTGCATAAGCGTACTATTAGCAAGCTATCTGTTGAAAGCGCCGAAAACCAGCCGAATTCTATCGAAAATCCCTTAAATTCACGCATTCTGCGCCTAAAACGTGTATAAAAAGCCTCCCAAAACGCTATAAGCTAAAGGTATACTTACTATAAAGGATACAGGTAATTTAATTAATTAGAGAGCGACTATATAATAGTGATAAAGTAGAAGATTAGTAGAAGAAGGTATTATACAGGCTAAGTCATCAGGCTTATAGCGATATAAAAGATGCAGCAAGCCTAACTATAATATATACAAACCTGTCAGAAGGTTAAAGAGACATCTAAGAAAGATAATAATATAAAGAATAAATGATTTTTCTGTGTTATAGCTATATATAATAGTTAAAAGATTATAATGTAAGAGAAAGGTACGTAGGATAATTATATATATAAGATGATTATAAACCATGTTATAAATAATATATATAAATTATATATATATAACTAGATTACTATCTCTTCTAAGAAAGTAATTTTAATATTAAAAAGGACGTGTTACAAAGGGTTAATACCCAGATTCCTTACTTTAAGATAGAATAAACTATTTATATAACTTTTTATTTATTTTTTTAATAAGTAAAAAGAGGTAATAAGAGGCTTAGTCTGCTTATCTTTGCTACCTTAATCTTATTAATAAATGTAGCTTATTATAATTTCGATCACGTTATAAAGATTTATTACTAGTATATAGTAAGTTGAGTTAGCTATAAATATCTCTGTATAAAAGTATATTAGAGGAGTAAACATTTTAATCTTAAGTGCTTATATAATAGTAACTTTATAAGCTCTTATAATAGCCTAAAGGCAGCGTTCTTAAACAGCTTATAATTTATTTTTAATATCTTTTCTATGCCTTATTATATCCTCTAAAGCATACTAGGCGCTATAGCTATAAAGTAGCACTAGTTGAGTAACTAACATATATATCTAAAGCCCTAAGGAGACAAAGGAGCCTTAGATAAAGCCGGATAGTATTTTTAGGGCGCTTAAGTAATAAACTACTTACGCTTTAACTATATAGAGGTAAGGTTTTTATTATAATGCTAAGTTAAGCTAGACTCTAAGCATCCTGACGTCTAACTTAGAGTTAAGGCTTATATTTATAGAGAGTAGTAATAGTTTAACTAGTATATTAAATCCCCTAGATATATAAGAGAAGTAGATTAGGTTATATTTAGACGAATTAAAAAAGGACTGATAATAGGTTACTTATAATTTATATATAAGATATATATATTTAAGG